ATGTAATTATTTACAAAAACTTGTCCAAATCTTTTGGGACTTGTAATAGWGTTAAGGGAAATAATTTGTCTTTCCGTAGGACACTGTACTCTGACTTCAGGCTGTCGGCCTCAGTGAGGTCACAGCCATGAACACAACAGACCAGCAACCCTGTTGATCATCTCTCCACGTCTGTTACCTTTACAAGACATGCTGGTCCCTTCTCTCCTGGCAGTGGAAAATTTAAGTCAAGTGGAGGGGAGCAGTTTGGTGAAATGAGTTGCTGTCCTGCAGAAGCTTCGGTTTCTAATCGCTTTGGCTCTCCACACCCATGGATATCACCTACACTGCCTGAAAAATAAAGGATTCATAGGCTCTTGAAACAGAAGGGCAAACCACTTGCTTCAGCAAGCAACACAGCAGGCAAGCTATTTTGAAAGAAGATACTCAGAACAGTAAAGTCCCACAAAAGTGCACTTTATTACAAAGATAATGTGAGAGTGATTACTGGCAAAGATCTGTATGTACTAAAAACCTAAACACAGCCAGCAATCTGACAAAATGCGAAACTTAAACTGTACCAAGAAGACTTCTCTTATTCTGTAGAGCTGAAAAAAACATACTTTTCTGCTTATGTTTAAAAATGAGTTAGTTTTTAAAGGTGAAAGTATACAGTAACAGAAGAGTTTRCATTAGGAATCTCTTTACATGTCAGAAATCTATTCTACAAATAATTGAGTCTAATACAAAGACAAATACAAATAAACTACCTGCAAAAAATAAAAAAGTAAAAGAAGTAAAATAAAAACAAAAATCTAAAGCCCAGCTGATRAACCTGACTGACCTGTAGCACCAAACAAAAGGCAGCAATAGCTTCTGCAAATCCTTTTTGTTCTCTTCAACAGCACTGACAATTTTAAACTAAACACTTGTTTAGAATGAAAATTGTCAAAAACCACCCCCAGCCCCCAAATCCCACGCCAGTTAAAGTGCAGTCATCCCCAAAGAGTATCAGGACAAACAGCTCAACTTAAACCACTGAAGACTTCTGCAAAGACACTTAAATAGTTTTAAAGGCTGCATTAACACTACTGATTGGACCAGTTGAAAAGATTTCAATTTCTGAAAATGAAATTTCTGCTAATTCTTGAAAGATACCATAACATTTAGTCATCAATAATGACTATTACCCATATGTTGCTCTTTCTGTTTAGATGGATGAAGTTCCATATCCTCATCTTCCTCATAGCTCCTCTTGTGGCGACTTGGGGTGTAGGATGTTGAAGGACTAACTCGAGCTTGGCTTGCACTGGTATACGCGTGAAATTAAGGATTAAGGACAACACCAGACTCTCGATTGGGAGAATTCAAAACAGTAAGTCTAACAAAACGTTATCATCACGTCTATTTTCAATGAGATATTGAAACAATTATGCGAGACATTACCTAGCTGCCATTTCTTTAGATAGCTAAGTAACCTGCTATCAGTGGCTTTATTGAAATGGAATAGCAATAGGATCTAAAAAACACAAAGTCCTGGTGTTTTTATAGATATTCATATTGGACTGTCATTAAATAAGTATTCTACCTTAATCTGAAAATGCCTACGGTAGAGCAATAAAGACATGGTTCTACTTAAGTTGCAAATGTTAGTAAAGTTTGAAAATAGCAGTGTGCAGAAATTTTCAAAACCCTCCCAAAGAAACATGCAAATCTAGTCCAAATCCTTATCAAGCCAATAACCAATTCATTTGTATCCTATTCGTGCACATAGAACACCACCAATTTCCCTTTCTATTTTTCTGCATCTAACACTTTTCCTCCTTTATCTGTCTTGACCAACTCAAAATCCAAGGAACTTTAAATAGTCATTTATTTTTATAAATCTAACAAGTTGGTTGGTGATAACTGTTTGTATAACACAGCACAGGCTCAGACAAAGGATATTTCTTTCACCCACGCTGACTCGCCAGGCACTGGAACGCAGTAGAAGGTCTGTCTCTCCAACGTGACCGTTTGAGAGGAGTTCAAGTCAATCTCCTGCTGAGGCTAGAGCACCAATAATACACAATAAGGTTAAAAGAGTGATTTTTTTAAAGTTCCATAGACTCATGTACTTAGCCAGAAGTTAGAACAATCCCTGTTTCACAAGGATGTAAACTTGCATGTATCTAACAGTATGAGTAATGTTTTTATATTAATAGTATCGCACTACTGAAAAGAAATGTTCGTATCAGCAAGTTTCAAGAGGTTTAAAGAAATTTAAATTTGCCAGTAGCCCAGCTTCTTGGCAAAGAACTAAAAGCCAAAACCCTAACTCATGCTCACAAGTAAGAGCATATATAAGCAAAACAAAATGTAAATACTATGGAAGTAACYTGAAGTCTGTTGAACTTAGCATGCATGTGAGCAAAAAAACTCTCTGCTTTGCAAACCTGAGCTTAATTTTGAGAGCAATACTTCCAAAGATCAACTTATTTGGCATTCATCAGTGATACTGAATTTATACAGCCATCTTTTTTGAGTAATATATAAAAAGGTATAACCTACCCCACATTCTGCCACATCTCTGTATTTACCAAAATGCAGAACCTGTCAAGAAGACAAAAGCAGTGCAGTTATTCTGTTTCTGGCAGCACCCTGAATATGGATTTCCTGCATCAAAATTATTGCAGTCGAAAGCCCTTCAAGGACCTACTGCTCAAACTTTTGTTATCTTAGTAATTGTGATTCCCCCAAATTACATTTGCAGATAAGAATCGTCAGAATTTTGTTTTCAATACTTCATAAATAGAAAATAAGAAGTGTTACACTACTGATGCTGAGGTTGAAACACCTCAACAGTTATTACTAGATAGTGTTTGGACTATGTAGCTTTAATTCAGTCACTAGAAACGTACGAAGAACAGATGAAGAAAATGCTAAATATTTACCCGAATAGTATCCACTTACACGTGTGTTTGTGTTTGGGTCAACTGTTTCATAGACTCCCATGTAGAACTCAGGATCAAACATATCTTGAACCATGCAGCGAAATTTCACTAAGCTGTTGGGCTTAAGGTAATGTAGGGGAACATCATTCAGCGATGGGACCTGTAAAAAAGAGCTTAGTCCRAATAACTGCTATATAAATACTGAAAGAGGTCCTGAAGTAAGCCACAAACTGCACATAAACTGTCACCAACTTGTTTTCTGGTCATTCAGTGCTCCTACTGTTGCCCTGTTTGTCTCAAAGCCTATATTATTATCAATAAGATTGTTTTTGATAATTTCATGTCTCATCGGGTAACAGCTATAGCATTTTCTGGGTACATATCTCCCCAACATCCTAAGTTTCTGCAGCCGCAGCAACTGGCAGAAGCAGAAACTACTGAACTTATAGCCATAAGTGTTATCATACACTGACGGCCCCAATTTTTTCCAGGTGCAAGGCCACCAGCCTCAATCAATTCTTAGTCCCAACACTAGTAAATAAGTGTTGTAGCCTCAAGTCTCACAACAACAAATATAGAAACGCCAAAGGAAAAAGGACACTGAGGAATACAACACAAATCCAAATAATAAGACCTGCTCTAAGAACAGGGTTTCTTTGTGATTTTGAAAACAAGTTCTTGGTAGAGAAAATACACCCAACATTAAAATGCAAATAAACCAGAAGCTAGAAAAATGGCAACCCCCCCCCACCATACTAACAGCTCACTCCTTTATGTTTCTCTTGAGTATGAAGATATGTTCATATTTTAATTTCTTCTAGTGCTGGAAATTTAACACAGTTCTGCTGGAGAAACAGAACTGTGCCACTAGACCAGGGTTTAAATTGTCACTGAAACTCAAATGCAGAAGCCTGTCTCACTAGCAGAAAAAATATATAAATATTTTATTTTCATTTCTTAATGAAAAAATAGAAAATATTTGAGATGAAGGTTCCTAAATAAGTTTAAAGCTCCACGATAGCATTTCCTGCATAGGTTTTAGAGTAATAACACCCTCAGAGCTCAAGTGTGCCTGCTAGATTTTAAGCACGTGGGGTAGCTTCCTTCCCAAGCTTTCACAGCCAGGCCTGAGCCCAGCGAGGGCAGCACTGCTTAAAACAGGTAACATTTTTCCCCTCCAAAAGGGAAATCCAAGCAGGAAAGCGTTCAACCCCCATGACATTCACCAGGGGCTGGTGACGGAGCGGGGAGAAGGGGGTTGCAGAGGGGGAACCAGCGCGGAGAGCCCCTCGCTGCAGCCCAGGCTGCTTCACRCTCTCAGAATAACCTATCTCAGTCACCTCCTGCCCTCCCTGAGGATCCCTCCAAGSGGCAGTTAGGGCTGGGGGAGAGAAATACACGAGAGCAGAAGGCTCTGCCCGGGCCAGGGCCAGGGCCCAAGGCGAGGCCTGGATGCCCCGCGGCCGCCGGGGCGGGCAGGGCTCCCCGGGGCGCTCGCGGGGCGCAGCTCCTCACCCAGTTGGTTGCGTTGTTCTCCTTGAGCTTCTCCCTGAAGAACTCGGTCACCTTCTTCTCCCAGTCGGCGCGCGGCTCATGTTGCGCTGCGGGGAAGCGCGCGCCGAGCGGCGGCGGTTAGTGCGGGAGGCACCTGCGCCGCCGGCCATGTCGGGCTCCCTCCCTCCCTCCCTCCCTCCCTGCCTGCCGCCCGCCTCCCGCCCGCCGCGCTCCCGGCCCGGGCCGCTCACCGAAGATGCCCTGCACGATGCTGAAGGGGTTGTTGAGCCAGTCGGCCACGCACGGCATGGCGCGGGGAGCCGCCGCCGAGCCCTGCGCGCGGCCGCCTGACTTCCGCCCTGCGCTCCTTCCTCCTCCTCCTCTTCCTCCGCTCGCGACGGCCGCGGCAATGGCGGCAGCGCGGGGCCCGCCCGCCTTCACCCTCTTCTTCCTCYTCCTCCTCCTCCCGCGCGGGGGGTGGGGGGGGCGCGCGCGCTGTCGCCGCCGCCGCCATGTTGGGCGCGGGCAGCGCTGAGGGCGGAAGCGGCGCGGCCGCCGCCCGGGAAGAGACGTGGCCGTGGCCGCGGCGCAGCCATGGCGGCCGCGAAGCCCGGCGCCACCAACCTGCTCTTCTCCTCCTCGGCCACCGAGTTCAACTTCGCCGTGCCCTTCATCCCGGTCAGCCAGGCGCCCGCCGCGCCGCCGGGACCCGCTCTGCTCGCCGCGGGTAGGGGCGATGCCGGGGGCGGCCTGCGGGGCGAGACGRGGGCGGCGGGGGGAGAGGCGCAGCTCCGCTTTCTGCGCCTTTATTTTATTTATGTTATTTTAAATTATTGTTTTAATGTCTTTATTTTTATTCCCTTGGCTGTTTTGCCCCGATGCTTCCCGCAGGTGCCTCATCTCCAGCCGGCCCTTCCCTAGTGCGGGTGTTTTCTCTCTGATACCGCTTTTTCCTGTTTGAAAATGTGCCATTCTGTCAAATTTCCTCGTTAACCTGCGCTCGGTCATCAGTGTTGCCTCCTTGCGTAGCCTCAGTGTATGCCTGGCACGTGTGTGCGCGTTTAAAAAATTTTGTACTCAAATAATCTCCGATACAGGACCGTGTTTTGGGGAGCGTGTTCAGTCTGAGACTGGAAGTGCCAAGCCGTAAAAATGTATCTGGAAATCTGGAAAACTTTTAAGTTTTATGGGAGTGACACACACTGAGTCCACAATTCAAATCTTGATTTCAGCAGTGTGGTATTTTACTTAGGGTAAAAATTAATTATTAATTGGGGTAAATATTAGTGTACTCTAAAAGAGATGTATACCTGTAGTTTTGAAAATATATTTGTTAAGTATGTCTTAGAAACACTTTATTTTCACTACTTGAAAGGATATTTACAGGGCTGCCCTTATTCTTTTCAGGATGGGGACGAGTATAAACTTAGAGTATCGCTCCTAAATATGAGGAATGGAAGCACCTAATAGGTGCATCTCTAACATTTGTGCAACCCTTATAGTTCTTGTTGCGTCAGTGCAGTGGTTGTCACTCAATAAAACAGCCGCYGAGCAGCTCTGCAGAGATGCCTTTCACGAGGCAGTGACACTCTCCCTTTGAACACCTGACAATGAGATTTCAGTAAGAAAAACGTATGGGTGAATTACGTGTTCTCCATCTCACTTAAACTGGTCAGATGAAGATTCCTGGTTTTTCGGTGGGAGCTGATAAAGCCAAAGGTGGAAATCTGTCACTTGGGTTGTCAGAGGGTGACCTGTGAGCGAGAAGGTGATGACCATGAGGGATGCAGCGATCTGTTCAACAGTCACTCCTGAAGAAAAAAGACTTTTCCATATATGAGAGGAAAYGTGCCGCTGTGTGTCAGTGGTACCCTGTGCTAATGTTCCTGTGTGGCTCTTGCAAAGTTAGATTCCCCAGAAAGATGTATATAATTTGTTATAAAGCACACTTGTTCTCTAAACAGGCAGGTTTATTTTGGGAGAACTCTAGGCAGTTTGGTTTTTCAAGGGAACGTACTGTTAAGCTCAACCTCATCAGGCTAGTCAAAAGTGGAGTGTTTTGTGCAAAGACTTATTTATTTCAGTATATTTTAAATGGAAAGACCTTAGTATAAATAACTTTTTTTTTTTTTCTCTTGGGAAGATAGTTCATAGGTCTGATTTCATAACAGTCGTTGCTTGTATTTGGAATTTTGTGTTCCCCACAAGGTTATTTGCATGAATAGGTTTTGTTTTTTTCACTGCTCAAAATGGAATGAAACGCACCAAGCATTATCTGCATTTGCCAATTGGGACTGTTWGAAAAGGTTATTAAATAAAGGCAGATGGGTTGATAGTCCATCTTAGTGATATCAGCTGTTTGTTTTCCATTTAATGAACTGAACAGAAGCTTCCTGGATTGAGTTCTCTGTGGATTCTCCTTATGCTGCCTCGATATTCCTCCTTACAGCAGTCTGGGCTGCGGAGAGAGGCAGTTGCTGTTGGCTGCGTGTGGCTGCAGAGCTGTTTGGTGTCTCTTTGGGTGGTGCCTGAGCTCAGATCATCCTAGGCTCACTTGGGTTTACTGTGAGACCTGTGATAATGTTAAGCCACTTGGTTCTCACTTGTTACTAGATCATTGCAAAGCAGAAAACTGATTTTCCAGGCTCTGTTATTAGTAGTTCCCCTTTGGGTACAAAAGGACAGGCGTGTGGCATTGCACCTTGGAGCTCTCTCTTGGAATTCTTGGAGTTACATGTTTTGCTTTGCACCATGGAGGTGCAGGTGCTTTCGTGCTAGTCTAGAATAAAGTATTTAGACAGAACTGAAGTAAACTGTGCTTTTGAAATGGTGTGGATTGAGTTGTTGCTCCCTCAAAAGTCAAGTGGGAAATCCTGAGAGGGCCCTTGTGCATAGGCATGTGAGAATGGTCTGCCTAACGAGTAGATGTGGTCTATGTAGGAATCTTCTTAAATCTTCTTAGGAATTTGTTCTTGGAAACCTAAAATTTAGGAGACATAAAATGCTTAGAGGTTGTTTTATTAGTGAAAGCACCTTTCACTGTTAAACTATGGATCTTTTTCCATCTGGCAGGCATAAGAGGGAGCTGAAAGGGCTTTTTGGTACTTGGAAGTCGGGTGCTGGCATGGGCAGGTGCTGCCCTGAGCCGTGCGCAGGCGAGCCCTCCGTTGTGCTGAGGCAGCTGGTTGCGACCCTGCGCTGGGAAATGAGGTCACTGAGCTAAAATCCTKTTTTATTTGGAGGCTTAGCTCTCAGCAATGGTGTTGTAGTGATCCCCTCTGCACTGTGCTCCCGTAAATAATTCCAGGAGTCTGTCCCTCAGAGAGAGTCAGAGCTGATTCAAGGAAAGGAGTGGGATTCTGGCAAAGCACCGTGAGGAAGGGGAGAGCAGAATCCTGGTTGTAGCAGAAAATATTGTCAGATTGGCTGAGCCACTTTGCAGAGCCTCCTCCAAGAAGACCTTCCAGTCGTGGTGCAGGACTTGATTACTTTTTTCTCTTGGATATGTTGTTAGTTCTCGCAGTTTTGTAAGGGAGCAAATGTATAGAAAAGGAATGCAAATATATGCAATGGGTGTTGTGATAGGCTCATATGTTTTTCGCATTGCAATGAAAACTACTTCCAATTCTTTTGTCACCTTGTGTATGTATGCTGAGTTTTGCAGTTTAAAAGTTTTCGAAGACTTGATATCTTTTGTTGTACTTTATGGCAAATGTAATTTTTAAAGATGTGGTTTGTAAGCTTTAATACTTCAGGCTTTATGAGGACTGACAACTTCGAAAGTCGTTCATAATGTCATGGAACATCTTTGACTAAATGCTTCAGACAACTCTCGGGACTTCTGTAGTAACTTCCCCCTCTTCCCTGCAGATGATTCTGCCGAGGTCGGTGAAGAGGACAGCTTCCTGGGCCAGACTTCAGCCAGCCCTACCCCACCGCAGACCTTCAGCTATTTCTCCAAYGTGCCCAGCGGCGGGGACCCATTTGGAAGCATCGGGCAGCCTCCCTTGGCAGCTGCCGCAGCACCTGTGGGAGCACCAGCCTTCCCAAAGCCTCCATCCTCGCTGCCTCCWGTGTCCCAGGACGGGCAGAACCAGAACGTGTTTCCTGCCACCACCCCCTACGGTGCCCCCCCTGCCTCGCAYGGTGGCACCGCCGCTCATCAGGCCGCTCAGCCGAGCTGTCCCCCGCCTGCCGCGGCGCCTCCGCACGGGCCGGCTCCGCAGGGCTACAACCCCTATCGCCACACGACGCTGAGCAGCAGGGCCAACCCCTACCTGACCCCCCCGCAGCTGCAGCAGAGCCCCCCGCCGCCGCAGCCGCCCCTCCACGCGTATCAGGCACCTCCGGGGCCTCCGGCRCAGGTACGCGAATCCCCCCCACTTGCAGCTACCAGGATAACATCATTTCAGACATTTTCCTCCATGAATTACATCTTTATGTATATATTTTCCCTGTGTCTGTTTTTCTAGTTGTTTTCTCATCTTTTACAAACCAAAAATCTCAATCCGTTTCTGATGGCTAAACTTTTTTTTTGCTGGAAACAGCCTGCAACTGTTGCTGTAGCAAAACATGCTGATTTTTGAAGTGAGCATGTCCTAAGGCCAATGAGTCACCTGCTTCAGTGGCAAAATCAGATCAAGAACTTGTGTTGCKCTTTCCTGTCTGTGTGCCACAGTTTGCTGCTTTCTCAGCTGTGCCTCTGCCTTGTTTGTGCCTCGGTTGTAAGTCAAGTCACTCATATAATGTAGGGTGAACATTTACTTCCAAACTGGCTTTGCTGGTGAAGCCAGCACTCAATAAAGTTATGGTCCGAGTCGCCTGAATTACCAGCAAACYATTTGAAATGCACAAGTTGAGAATTTCTGTATGAAGAGTATATGCTCTAAATCTCCTTCTTACCTTCACAATAGCACTATAAAAATCTTACTAGGATGGGTTGTACAGATAAGTTAAAAACCTGTTGACTTATCCTTATAAACAACACAAACCCCCCTATATTTTACCTCAGATTCCTCCGTTGTTAATGAATGTTTTCTTATTTTGTGCAATATGCTAGCTTTTCAAATGAAACAAATAAAGACATTTTTATTACAGGTATCGCTTACAGTTTAGTTCCTGTATCTGTGGCAGTTTAGTTCCTGAGAGATTGTGGTACAGTCTGAATGAAGTCGGCTCTATGTAGAATATGATTCCTTTCAAAATTAATTAATTTTCTTAAATTGCTGGGGCTAAAGTCAAGTTTAAAGACTGCTTGTCCTGGACTGTTCCAGAAAGGCAGCTTTTACTGGGAGGAGTGTTAAAATTAGCTACCTTTTTGCAAAATAGAATTATGTAACATGGAATAAATAGAAGAATATATTTTTGGTTTTGTTGAATTTGTCAGCTGTAAGAAATATGCTCAGCCTGACCTTCAGATTGGCTGTCTAAAACCAGTAGATTTTCTATTAAGTAAGGAAGCTACTGGACAATGAGAGACTTAAGCAGTTTATGCAGTAGTGAAATTCAGATGCCTTTTTTAATTTGAAAGGGTGTGAATGTCTAGCAACGTAACAAAGTGTTCAACTTGTCTGTAAGATTTTCAGACTAAAAGCTAATTTTCTTGTAAAAGAAATGTGTTGAGAGCATTCTCTGTAACAAAGAATAAGTCAGTTCTGTAAAGAGACTGAGATGCTGTGATCATTATATTTTCAGTTTCCACCATCTCAAGCTCCCAGGCCCTCAGGTCCAGTGGTCCAGGCGCCTCCTGTTTTGCTGCAGAACCAATATGAGCCTGTTCAGCCTCACTGGTTCTACTGCAAAGAGGTGGAAGACAAGCAGATCTGGCTCCCATTCAGCCTTTTGGATTCTGCAAAGCTAGAAGAAGTCTATAACTCTGGTAAGTTATGAAAATCCTGACCGTACCTTATTCAGAGGTAAACAGAACAAATGAGGAAAAAAAAAAGTAGAATTCTGTCACTTATGTGTGAGAAAGGTTCACAGCAGAAACGTCTTATTATGTGTCATAAACATGCATTTTTCTACTTCTTCATTTAGTGTCTTAATGCTATCACTGTTAACATATACATCACTCACAGGTGATGGAATTAGTAATCTTAATTCTGGATGAAATTAGTACATCTAAGGAAAATGTTTGGGAGTAATGGCTTTGAGTAATTTGCATGCTATTTAACTTTGCTGTTGAAGTTTACTTCCAGCTCTCACTTTGAAAATGGACACCATCTTTCATAATAAATTGCTAATTCTACGAGAAGTAAGAACCAGGTTTTAAACAGAATTTTACATTTTATTCCATAGTATAAATGGTTAAATATTGATCCCTGAAGTGACCAGGGAGGGTTTGAGAGGTGGCAGGGGAAAAAAATGCGCGTGTTAGTGTTGTAACTGAGCGTGGCTTTTGTGTCTAGTCCAGCCTGATCCCGAGAGCGTCGTTCTGAGCACCGACGGGGGCCGCTACGACGTGTTCCTGTACGACAGGACGAGGAAGGCCGTTTACTGGGAGGAAGAGCCCTCTGAAGTGAGACGATGTATGTGGTTCTATAAGGGCGACAAGGACAGCCGCTTTATTCCTTACACTGAGGATTTTAGTGATAAGCTAGAGGTTAGTGTTGCTTTTACATAAACGCCATAAACAAATTGATATGATTGTTTTGTTTCATTGAAGTCCTTTTCAGAATGCGCCTTCTGGAACATAAGGAAGCAAATACTGGAAAGGAGTGGCTAGAGGCCACGTGGCTTGCACATAGGTCCTGTGAGGCTGGACCTGCGTTGAGTTTTAGGTCACTCTTGACACTCTTATTTAAATAAAATTATGTCATTCATCACCTTCGCTTTCTTTTTTGGCCTTCTGCGTTGCCTGTAGTGGTGTGGGAAGGTATACTAATTTTGTGCTTGTTTACTGTTTCAGACAGAATATAAAAGGGCTGTAACTACAAATCAATGGCATCGACGACTTGAATTCCCAAACGGGGAGATGTTTGTTATGCACAATCCCAAGGTAATAGTTCTTGGTGGTTGGTTTGCACAGAACAGAATGGAAGTGAATGATCAGATGGATGGAAGCATAAATTAAATGAAGGGCTAGCCTTGCTTGGAATTTACTTATTGATTGTTTTAGATATGTCTGCCTGTCTGCATTAAAAGGGATGATAAAGCTCCTAAGAATGATGGAGGGGAAAAAAAAGTCAAGAGGTGATAAAGGTTATACATAGAGCTCCTGTTTGCTTCCATGTGCTGTAGCGTGATTTAAAACCCACACTTTCTAACACATAAGAAGACAGTCAAAATATTTACTAAGCATCACTGGCAGCAAATGGGAGGCAGTTTGAATTAGCTTAACCTTAGATGGTCTGCACCCAGATGGAAGGTAATTTAGACTAAGAGCTTTCATGTGGAGAAGAGCATTAATCTTAACTGCAAGGTAATTTGATTGTATATCTGAGCCACGAGAAGTCTTCCACTCTAACTACTTTTAGAACTTGAGAAAGTGGAATCACTTTTAAAGTTTTTCTTTACTATAAATGTTCTCTTGGCAGCTCCTTGTTGTTCAAAGATGAACTTCAGCCTTACTGACTAGTGCTGGTAACTGTTGCTTTGAGAGATGCAATAATTAAATTAAAAAACAAAACCAAAAGAACAACCTCCCTGTCCCCCGTGAAATGCCACTGTCTCTCCTACTTGAACCAGACATGGRTTAAGAAGTTTCATCTAGTGAAAACTTACAGAGAAAACAATTTAAACAATTTCACATTTAAACTGTTACAAATATGACTTCAGACTATGAGTCAATACAAGTAAATGTTACTAAGCAGCCATGCTCCCTTCCCCTCACTTTCTGGAGTTTGTGGGCTACTTCAGATGTTCCTCACAAAGTTGCAGCCTGYGAGGGAAAAGTGGAATCGGAGGTCCAAAAAAAGGGGACTTTAAATAAAGCTCATCTAAAGAGTCAAAATTGTTAGTCAGAATTGCACAGAACAGACCAGCTTCTGCAGCTTGTGTTTTGTTGTATCATAGTAGTGAGCGTTATCTGTCTTATTTCTGAGTCTGGCTTTAGTGAAGGTGTCACTGCCATAGGAGATAGATCTACAGTTTTCTAAGACTTTTATTTGTTTGTTGCATATATGCTTACTGAAGAAAACATTTGCACTCAGATGCAAGGTAAAGCAACAAAGCAAAAGATGTGTTGAACGATGCAGTGTTTTCACACTAGCTCATGTTTTGTGCTGTATTTACAGTTTGCCTGTGGCTTTTTCTTCAGGTCATCGTTCAGTTCCAGCCCTCTGTCTCACCAGATGAATGGGGCACCAGTCAAGATGGGCAGGCAAGACCCAGGATGGTGAAACGTGGAATTGATGACCACGATGAAATTCCTGATGGTGCGTGGGCAGTGCCTGCGAGTCTGCAGTCKGAACAGTCAGCACAGTCCTATACAAAAAGGGGGCAGCGGTGGCTGGGGCCACTGATTTTCTTTCAGTTATGGCTGTTTAATTCAGAGAAATCTTTTAGGCTAAGCTGTGTCCTGAACTATACTATGTAAAAGACTTTTTGAAGCAATATTTATATTACTGCATCATTATTTCTCACATTACTGCCTGGCACTAATCTGTAGCACTGAAATACCTATTAGTACTCATTTTTTTTTTTCTTTCCTTTTTTAATAGGAGAAATGCCCCAAATTGACCATTTAGTATTTATGGTTCATGGCATAGGTCCGGTGTGTGACTTGAGATTTAGAAGCATTGTTGAATGTGGTAAGTTTTTGCTGGCTTAATTGATAATTTTATTCTTGTTTAGTAGTGGATTTCTCAATATTGAGGGAAGCTCTTTGTAAATAATATGAAGAACTATTTTGTATTAAGCAATTCAGTTCCTGTAGCATATTTCCTCCCTATTCTTACTGAACTCCCCCTGCTTTTTTTTCCCCCCAAAAYGGAACCTTTTCTGTCAGATTCATTGCTTTACCTGTTATTATTGGTTCTTTAGCTTCAGTTTTGMAGAGAAATTTATATTTTTTGGTAATACACTCCAGTTCAATTGAGTGAATTAGACGTTAAATAGGTTTCTAACTGAAGACCTTAGGCCATAGAAGACCATGTTTATTCATGGAATAAAATTACTTTTGTTTTGAGATAAAGAGCATTTTTTCCCCCATTCATGTTCTTATAGTTAAATCAGTAATGCATACCAAGATTTTCCACTTTGAATTCTCTTCCATTTGTAATTTGAATGAATATTTGTTATTGAGCATCTTATTTGAATACTGTTTTGGTCAGATTTTCATTACTTTCATTGCTCTAATATTTTTTGTTAATACAGTTGATGACTTTAGGACTGTTTCTCTGAAGTTGCTGCAAACTCACTTTAAGAAAGCTTTAGAGGATCAAAAAGTGAGCAGGGTGGAATTCCTGCCTGTTCACTGGCATAGTTCTCTGCACGGTGATGCCACAGGTGTAGACAGGTGAGTCGAAGCTGCATCGTGCTTTTCAGAAATGAATAAAAGAGAAATAAATGCTTTTACTTCAGGCTAGATTAATGTATGAGTGGATTACAAAAAAAGAATCACTAGTATTTTTTGTGCATGTCTTGATATTGTGGAGTATGGAGAAAGTAAGTTATGTGTTATGATTTGTTTAGTTCTTTTTCTTGGCATCAAGTAGCAGGACATATGTATATAGATATATGCAAGCACACATACACACTCATGTGAACATAGACTTTTTCTAGTACTACTTTTTCATGAAAGTAGCTGATGCAATTGCTCAGAAGGTTTTTTTTTTTTTTTTTAAACAAAGCTATATATCTTTAGCTGAAAGAGTTGTAACCTCTAAAAATATATATCCCTACCACCCTTTGTGTCAATATCCTTCCTGTTGTTTGTCATTTCTGCCTGTTTTCCCTTTCTCAGGGCTGGGCAAGTACTAGTTGCAAGGTGATAACGTGCACTGCTTGTGGCTGAGGCCGATGTGAACTCTGACTCCTGAGACTTTCTAGGCCCTTCTAGCTTGGTTAGACCATCCTACTTTTCTAGMGTCTTTCAGATTTTTATTCTCATTTGACACCTGTGTTATTATGAGGAAGGATCCTTATTCTCTTAAACCATATATTTTAATGTGTGTTGAGAGCACACGTGCAGTATTTAGAACTGCACGTTAATTAATTTTTGAAGCAGCAGGAGTGGAACTGCCAAGTACTTTACCTGTGTTTCTTAAAAATCATCCCTGCTTCCAATGATTCTGTATTCCCAGGAACATTAAGAAAATCACGTTGCCGAGCATCGGCCGCCTGCGGCACTTCACCAACGAGACGCTCCTCGACATCCTCTTCTACAACAGCCCCACGTACTGCCAGACCATMGTGGACAAAGTGGGGCTGGAGATGAACCGCCTGTACGCGCTGTTCCTGAGTCGCAACCCCGACTTCAAGGGGGGAGTCTCTGTGGCTGGGCACAGTTTAGGTAATTCACTGAGAAACAGGCCTCACTTGAAAAACCCAGCATTCCTGCATTAAAGGGAATATTGYTTTCCATTGGCATAGGGCTAAAGTTAATGGAACATGTGGAACATATTCTAAGTATTAGGATTTAGGGACAAAATTTGAAATATTTCCCAAAATAACTTTAATTTATTTTTGCAGGTTCCTTGATTCTGTTTGACATCCTGTCTAACCAGAAGGACTTGGCATCCTCAGTAAGCACTGGACCCTTCTCTGGTGTCAATGGGACTGTAAAGGATGTGGCAGTTCCTGATAAACAGGTATCTACAGGCAAATTGACGTGTTTTTCAGCAGCTTGTCAGAATTTATTAGAAGAAACACTGCTATGTATCTGATGGTACATTTAGAATATTAATGGAAAAGTGCAGTTTTGTAAATAGTAAGTCTTGAGGATTGGCCATGTTTATAGTCCAAAATAAACCAGTCGTGGAATTTGATCGTGGGCTGTGGCTTTGACTTGTTGCAGTGCAAACAAGTAACTCGGTCTTAACAGTGTCTAAAACAGAAGGCAGGAGGCATAAGGAGGAAATGATCTTTGTCCAGCCTAGAAAGTGATATCAGTATTTGATTAAAAGAAAATATTTTTCAAYGATGTTACAAAGCTGAAGATTCATATTGTCTCTCTTAATTAAAAGTACTTTTTTGCAGGTCTGTTATTTAATTGGTTTCCTGCATCATTAAAATGCATATAAATTCAACTTAAATACTAATGATATTTTTAAGAGAAAATCATTTACCTGTTGCTTATGGGCCTTTTCACTGCCCAACAATCTGATTCTCTTGCTGTGCTGCCTTGTTAAGATGACAGAAGATACCAGTTCCTTGGGCTCCTCAATTGCGACTTCTGGTGATGACCTCTGTGAGCCTGAAGTGGACGACGATGTTCCTACATTGCAGAAGACTCTGGAAATGCTTAGTTTGTCAGAGTACATCAGCACATTTGAAAAGGAGCGAATTGATATGGAGTGTCTGGTATATTAACTTTTAAAACTTTTAATTGCCGTTTGGGTATAGCTCATGTGAGGAGATTTTTTTTTTCTTTAGAATTTAGAGTATCATGAAAACAATTGCAAAGGTTAAACAATGTCTGATATCGATGACCGAATGTTATRTGAATTTATTTTCTGAACTATGTTAATTCTTGCACGTAATGTTTTTTTTTGTAATTTCCTTTGGATTATCAAATACTTTTCCAAATTGCAGCCCATTCTTAATAGGCAGTGACTATATGTTGCCAAACTAGTGATGAAGTATATCTTATTAACTCTTATTTTTAAGCTGATGTGTACAGTTGATGACCTGAAGGAAATGGGGATACCTCTTGGACCGAGAAAGAAAATAGCCAATTTTGTGAAAGACAGAGCAGCCAAGCAGGTAAGTATATTTTGAGGGGTATGGATTAAGAATTTATTAAGGAAATACGATCTGTGAAGTAACCKCTCTTTAATAATTTTTTTCTTGGTTTGAAAACTTGTCAGGAACAAAAGAAAGCAGCAGCAGAAAAGAAAGCAGTGCAGGTTGCCATGCTGCAAACTCAGGAAGCTGCCCAGAAAGTAAAAGGGGAGACTCCTGTCTCCCCTTCGGAGTCTGGTCAACTGCACTCAAAGAGGAAGCTGCCAGTTGGTGCCTCTGTTTCTTCTGTGAACATTGACTACGAGTATTTTGAAGTTGGGACKGGCCAGGTAGGACTGCATAAACTTAAACAATTCATTTGGGATTTGTTGTTGTTGTTTTTTAATGTGCATGACTGTTCTTCTCTCAGTCTTTGTGCCAAGGTTATGTTTGTGTGGAACTTTGCCCTTTGACAGTGGGGAGTACTGGGAAAGTGGGTTAGATTACTGAAAAGCAAAATTAATGCAGCGAGGATGTCACAGCAAGTCTTTCTCAGCAGTGAGCGAGCTGTCAACAGACTTTGTTCTGAAATCCCGACTGTCAGTGGTTCTTTGGCATTTAACAGGGTGGCCTCAGTTGACCCATTTATGCTGTTAGGTTTAAATTTTGCCTCAACTCAAAAATCAAACTTCTAAGGCCAATTGTTAAACATGTTTTATTTATCTTTTCCTATAATTTGAGAAAACTTAAAGAAAACCGTTTTAATTCCTTCATAGAGGGAATGCAGTACAGCTAGAATCTGCATCAACACGGGTAGGCATCTGTGAACTTGTGGTTGATTTAACACACGTGTAAATTTTCTKTCCCAGCTGATCATTCTGTTAACTACGTGGCAGTTCTAAGGGATTTTTTTATCTAATCTCTGTGTCTGGCAGGTTTCTGTGGTTTACAGTGCGTTAGACTTTGAACCAGATATCTTCTTTGCTCTGGGTTCTCCTATCGGTGTGTTCCTCACGGTGCGAGGAATAGAGAAGATTGATGAAAACTACAGGCTTCCTACCTGCAAGGGTTTCTTCAATATCTATCATCCGGTGAGTGAGAGAGACTTTTCAGWTTTGTTTTTTAGCTAATGTAGATGACAAATGGGGAATATTAAATCTTAACCTTGGAGCATTCAGTCTTCTTTTCCTGTCCATACTTTTCCAAATACTAACACTTAACTCTAACTCTCCTTAAAAGAGATCCTGAAGTCTGATTATTCTATGAACTGAAGGGAAGGGAAGACATAAATGGGGAGTTTATGTTAAGAAGAAATGATTAACATTTAGTTATCTTAAAAAAAAAAAAAAAAATCTATTTTGTTGTTTCTTAACAGCTTGATCCAGTAGCTTACAGATTAGAACCAATGATCCTTGAAGACTTGGATTTAAAACCAGTTCTTATTCCACACCATAAAGGCAGAAAAAGACTTCATTTGGGTAAAAAGATTCATATGTATATTTCATTCCTGATCATTCACTTGAAATTCTGTAGTACTCAAATGCATCAAGAGACTAATGCATGCTCAAGTTCCTGGATGTCTAGTTGGATATGTTCTCACAGAGGCTAAATTTAAGAGGGAATTTGTCCCAGCACCTTAAGTTCATTTGTAATTTCATTTGGAAATAATGATCAGAGATCTAAGGCCTCCAGATTTCAGTAGTCCTGGTTGGAAATTGCTGTAAATCACTCGTCCTGTTCATCTTAAAGACAAACTAAACTTGCTTAATTCTTTTGCCTTGTGTCTAAAGACCTCTATGATGAGTTTGGCCAGTGTCTACCCTATGTTGTTAGAAAGGCTGAGAAAAGAACCTTTTCATAGGCACTAGTGGGCCAGGGTAGGCTTCTGTTGTACCTATACACACAGCAAGATGACAGATTCTGAAATGTCACGTTTGGAAGGAACATCAGTTTYGCTATTCAGTTGACACGGATTGCTATAGTTCAGAGCCCTCGGAAACTGTCTTCAGGCACTTGGAATGAAATTCTGCTATGTGTGCTTTAGAATGGCAGATTGGAATGAGTCTGTTTTCCTAGGTAAGACCAAGGCACTTGCTAAAGAAAGTTTTTCATTAGAACTTCTACCACAAGTGTGCTTAGTAAACCAAAAATGGTGATCTSTTGCTCTTGGAGCAAAACTGACTTTTCTGTCACGTGAGTGGATGCTCCTGCATTTAGTCACTGTGAAGATCTGAGCTGATTTTTAGATCCACGTGGTTTTAAGCTGCTTCAGAAGGCTCTTGTGAAGAGCTGTCCCTCACTCAGAGGTTCCCACCTCTGTTGAATGGCAGCTCTGTTACCTGGAAAGCAGTTACTGAAATGCAGCAGAATTGCAGGCTGGAGTTGTGTGAGAAAACTATCCCGAGCTGTTGGGAGAGCCTCTCAGAAATTCGCTGCTGCTGCAGGAGTCATGGGCATCAGTTTAGTGTCTTCTCTTGTGCTGTAGTTCGAGATGGTCTCGCTGTCCTTCAGTATAAGTTGCTGGGCATGACTCTGGGTGGTGTGAGGGACTTGCTGGCCTAGACACCTTTTGGGAGACGCCTTCTGGACTTGGCTGCTGTCACGCTGTTGCCTGTGACTGTAGGTACTAACCCATCATCAGCCCATCCAGTGCAAAATTGTTCCATGTTCACTGCATTCCAACTAATCTTTTAAATGAAGTAGACATGCAAGAAATGCATGTACATGATAGAACAGATCAATTTCTTGTGTCTGAGATTCTTGTAGAGCAGTGCTTAATTGTTCATGTTTCAGTTTAATATTTTAAATCTTTCCACAATGGTTATATCTTTTTAGAGTTGAAAGACTCCCTCTCTCGTATGGGATCTGATCTGAAACAGGGTTTTATCAGCTCTTTGAAGAGTGCCTGGCAGACCCTTAATGAATTTGCACGTGCTCATACTTCTTCAACTCAGCTGCAAGCAGAACTGGAGAAAGTAGCTAACCAAATAAAAGAGGAAGAAGAAAAGCAGGTAGTGGAAGGTATGTAGACACGTTGTTCGCTTTCTAATTTATTGGTCTCAGATTAGAGGAATCCTGAGCCTCTTGGGGATTGTCCAGTATTGGTGATTGTGACACTGTTAAACGTATGTGTTTTCAGAATGCTAATGTTAAATGCAAGATCTATGGTAGAATCTGCGTGTCTTTTTATGGAAGTAGATCAATGCTTAGTAATGCAAACTGTGCTTATAAAGGGAAAAAAAAAACCCTGCTTCTCATTTAAACTGAGACTTGTGATGGGTTCTGTGCAAGTGGGGTGTAAAAATGAGTTATTCCAAGTTATCTGCTTGCGGAATAACTGGATCTATTTGTATATAGGCACGAGTTTGCTTTCTTACTTGCTGAGATACTACTTTGTGAGCTGTTATTCAAACTCTGCTTAAATGTCATGACAGAAACAGTCCTACTGTTCCAGTAACCTTTCCAATTCAGGTAGTGATGTACTCTTTGACTGAGACTGCTATTACTGTCTTATTCCAGTCACTTGGAAATTATAGTGTAGAAGATAAGTGATATTTCTGGATAGTCAAGCAGTCTGTGCTTGAAAATATTTCAAATCTTGAACTTCTTATTTTTCAGCGGAAAAGATCACTGAAAATCCAGAGCCTCCAAAAGATGAAGACTTGTTAGTGAAGGTTGGGAAGCTGAATGGAGGACGCCGTATAGACTATGTTCTACAAGAAAAACCTATAGAAAGCTTCAACGAATACCTCTTTGCTTTACAGAGTCATTTGTGCTACTGGTAAGAGTAATATTTGTGTCTTTCGTTTCTCCCATGTAACTTTATATCTTTAAGTATAGATAATTGACATGTCTGCCACCCATTTTACACTTGTTTGTTTGTGACTGATAACAACAGCTAATTTCTTGTCTTGAGAATCCTGTCTTTTATAACAAAAACCCCTGACTTAGGACACCTGAGTTTTTGTGGCCTTTGAAATCTTTGCTAAGCGCGAAAATACTGCTTTTTGGAAAAGAAGGTTGCTGAGATGGGTGTGGGATCTGTGTCACTTAATTCTGAAATGTCCTTTTATTTGAGAGGGCATTGCCTTCCTGCTCAGGTAGGTTGGCAATTATCGAGGATAAATCCATTATACTCTGGATTCCAGTTATAATGTGACTGGGATTATATAACATATATRAAACATATAGAAGTCAGTAAGTGATTTGAATAGAAGTCAAAAAGTGCATCTAGGTAATTTCTGAGAAAGTACATTATTCTACCTAGATCTGATGGAATGTATTTCTGCTTTCTGTAACCTCGTAATCGTTTACCTACTCCAGACTGAAAGACAAATTATAGCTTGCTCATTTAATACATTCTTTTTCTTCTCAAGTTNTTTTTTTTTTTTTTTTTTTTTTTTTTTTTTTTTTTTTTTTTTTTTTTTTTTTTTTTGGTGGTTCAACAGTTCCATTTCTGGCTTGGTTTATTTTTTGCTGGAGATGTATTTTGATTGTGGGTTTTTTTCTGATTTGTGTTATTTTAAAAATTGTGCATATTTCTCTTTTCTTTTTTCTGGGTCTGCTCTAAAGTGTCATTCTCGATGTCCCACGTAGATGGCACTGTTGTGATACAGTCCTGTTTTACAGTCAATACACTGTGAGGTGTCATACTGCTCTCTTAAAATTTGACACTCAGAACACACATTTTTTAGCTACAATCACTTTAAAACAAGGAGAATTTTGTGACAGTTTTGAAAACTTTTTTTTCTCAAATAAAATCTTTCCTAAAATTTACTTTAGATTAGAATATGTGGCAAAACTTTCTTCTCCCTTCATAYTGGGAAAAAAAAATCTGGATATTTATAGGGGAGGGAAAAAAGACCATAGTGGATCTTCCCTAAAAACTGACATTACTCTTTCTATAGAATGGTTGTGCTTATGCAGAATATAGAAAAAGCAGATTTGGTGTCATGTGTTCACACCTGCAGCTGCATCATTGCCTCATCAGGATTTGGATTTACTTTTTCTTAAGTGCTCCATGTTTTAGATRAGGAAGATCTATCTTGATTTGTAGGAAGCACATTAACTGCTGTCCCACTGTATTTGCTGTTTTGCACTGAGTTCCTCTTTTTTGGCTGTATCATATTTCGTGCATTTTATTGCAGGTGTAAAATTAAGCATGTGTAAAAAAAAWGCCGAATGGGGAAGGGCAGAGGGAAAAACACAGGAAGTCATGTTGTCAAATGCAGTTTATGCAGAATGAATGGTAAATGAGCTTAGGGCTCTGCTGCTGGCCCTGCCTTTGAAGTTTTCTTGTTGCTGTCATAATAACGTAGACCCAAGCGCTTCATTGCACTGGTTAGTGGTGCTGGACAAGTGGTTCCTCACTATGGAGAAATGAAATGCTTCAGAAATAATATACATGATTTCTAAAACCAGGCATTTTTCCAGAGGCTAAAAATACTGAAAACGCTCCCTGAAGAGTCTTTTGACAGTTAATATCCCTGCCTGTGTTAGAGCTCAGCAGTTGCTTGAGCCAGGAGGACTGCGGTGCTGGTGGGTGTCAGAAGGATGCCGGGCCCATGGGGGCAGTGCTGTTCTGCGGGTGCTCTACAAATATCCATGGTATTTTTTCTCCAAGTGGGAACATTTTTCCACGAGGTGGCAGCCGCTCATTGCATGAGCGTCACGCTTGCTCCCAGGGGAGAACGGTGAGTTTGGCTTGTCCTTCAAGTAAGGAAAACAAACACACGACCCAAGAACAGGGAGAATCTTCTTTCAGCATGCTTTATTTTCTGGAAGATGCCTAATAGGAACAGCGAAGCAAATGAAATAAAAAAGGCTTGAGAAGGAGGTGGAATGCGGGAATGTGGCAGATAAAAAGTGAGAGAAGAAGATTGAAATCAAACAAATCACATCAATGCAGTGTGTGGAGAAGGGGATAYGATCCCTCATTGGGATCATATGAAGCATGACTTGCAGGAATTAGAATGTGGAGTACATAGTACCAAAATAACCCTTCTTTTTAAAATTATTTGTAGGGAATCTGAAGACACTGCCTTGCTGTTTCTCAAAGAAATATACAGGACTATGAATATCAATCCCGAACAGCCACAGCATTGATGTATGGATACAGAAATTTGTAAGTTTATTCTGATGTAACTTATGTATTCTGTCAAATTTAACAGGAAAGTGCTAGTGGTGTTAGGTATGATGAAATCTTATTTACAATGCAGACTGAAGAGCAGCAGGAGTCCCCCAGCATTGTAATGTTCAGGTAGTAGCATTGACTGAGTCCTGGTTGAACTACTGTGCACATGTATATGCCTGAGAGAAAAAGTAGCCCCTYTCCTAAGGAGCAATTAAATCTGGTCATGATAAACTCCTGGATGAGACCTTTATATATCTCATTATTTTATCATGTTTATATGGCTTAAGAATTTAAATGGAACCAGTAGAACAAGATGGTTCTTCTGGTTTGTGATCCAACCTCAATCATTTTGTGCTTCTGTTATACTGTTTATATTCCCCCCTCACACTTTTCTTTGAGAGAGTGGGAGAAAAAGAGCTATCAGCCTATTAAAGCTTTCATGTATGAATTGGAATAGTTCTATTTTTATCCCTAAATACTATAGAATAACCTGAACCATAAGTTAAAGACTCCAGTAATTAAAATGTTAAGGGAGTGATGTCCTTTGAGCAGGAAATGTAAGCTTCACTRTGTGGAACTGTAATCACCTTTTTGTGTCCAGAAAAAGGAAAATTCAGATTTTTTTTTTTAACTGCTTAGAAAGTTGTACCATTTTTGTTTGTTTTGATCTTTTTGTGTTGTTTTTGAAATAACGCTGGCCTATTTTATTTGTGCAAGGATAGAAAACTTGATGATTTTACATGTATACGTGTTCTTTTTTTCTCTCTGCACAGAAAAATCCAGTGGAGAAACAATTTCAAGAATCCCTATTATGTCCATAGGTACAGGTGATGGGATAAGAGTTGGACTTTTTCTCCCTGCCAGTCCAGAACTCATGTGTATTCTGCCGCCTTGTGTCACTTCGATGAAATTTAATTTCTGAAAAGATCAAAACCATCATTCAAGAAACAATGATACAATTTTGTTCTTCAATCAGTTTAATTGTACAGTTGCCAAAGATAAAGTGATCATTGAAGAAGTATTTTTGGCATGCAAATGATTATTCTCTCCTTTAGCTGTCCTATCTCAACTGGTTGTCAAACGTGTCTACAAAGGCAGCGTGTCCTTTATTAAAAAGGACTTGTTGAGAAACAGCAATAATCTGCTTTCCTTGCAACACTTGTTGGTCCACCTTTTAAAAGCAAAACGTGAACTGTAGTTATAACCAGCTTAAACACAAGTTACCTGAAGCTGTTTGTTTTTACTAAAAACTAGCAACCAGAATAATTTTCTTACTATTGTAAGTGTCATATGGAGATTTTATAAAGACCATTTAAATCCTCTGTTAAGAGTTTTTTTGGGTGGGGTGTTTGGTTGAAGTGTAAATGAACCTTTGCTGAAAATGTTAGTAATCTGTTGCGGTTAGTTCAGTGTTCAAGTCCCCTGAAATGAAGAATAGCTTTAAATGGCACTTAGTAATTAAGTGAATTTAGTGTGCAGCTCTAAGAACTGAAGTACTTACCCTGACCTTGCAGTTTAGTGTCTCMGTATTTTTGATGTAAATAGAGGAACCTGCAGCTTGTGGGAGTATGTAACACATACCTGTACATACATGTAACATACATGTAACAGTGCAGGTCCAGACCATACTCCAGGCTTATTTTTCACATACTGGAATAGAGATGAGGTGAGTGGTAGGGAATCCTTTTAATATGTCCCACTGAGTATTAAGCTTCTGTAGCTTTCTTCTGGCTTCAGCTTACGTGCAAATTGTGACTTTTCGTAATGACTTAATACTGAGTGCTTCTGTTATTGCAGTAGGTGCATCCTGAAATGCAGTGGATGTGGATTTTTTTTTAAGCTTAGAATATGTAAATATACATTTTTGTACATATTTTGGTTTTAAAATTAAAAATCCCTCACCTCAGGGAGTCTTTGTAGCTTTTTTTTTTTGTTTGATCACAGAATAGAGAGGAAGACATGTCTAGAGGATACATTATTCAAAGTAGAGTCAATATAAATCACAGAATCACAGGTTTTGAGTGGTCCTAATCAGAAATCAATCCTCTTGTGCTGGATATTTCAGGATCCCACTGGAAAAAAAAAAAAGCTGTTAATCATCTCTGCTATTAATTTTAAGAGCTGTATTGTGCATGTCGAAGCTGAGGCATCTTCTGTAAAGACAGAAGGAAAGATAACTACTGCCTCCATAGAAATTTGGCTGTGGACTTCAATGTACTCGGGGTTTCTGCCTGAGGGAGTAAGTCCTGGCTGCCTCCTGCTGCCGTCCGCACTCACCCACTGCTGCCACAGGTGGAGAGGGCGGTGGGAGGAGGTCAACTGCAGGCACAAGCAGCCCTAGAGCAGGTGGAGTCTGTGCTAGGGGCCACCTGAACGTGCTGGAGTGTAAATGTAGTATGAGGTTCACAATGACACCGGTAACATAAGCCTGTCCTAAGCCTGACTCCCAGTGGGGTGTTTGTACCAGGCTAAAGCACTATTCAGTGTTTAAAACATTCTCCAGCCAGTTCTTAATTGCCTCGGTGGCACATTGGTTTGTGCCAGGACAAAGGAGACCAAGCCTTTCAGAACAGTAAAAAAAAAATTAATTCTTGCAATTAATTCTTGCTGATCGAAGTCACCTTATAAAATGCCAAGTGAAAGATTAATTTCCCCTTCTGTACCTTTGTGTCTTCTGAAGAAATTTTTCTCTTCATTCCCACTCCTGCTGTACGATGATGTTGGGGCCTGATAGAAATCGCTCAAGTCTTGAGCAACAACAACCTGCTCCAGCAAATGCTCTGTAGTCAGAAAAGGGCCCTGTGGGGCACACGTGAGATGCTCGAACACATCRCCTGTGTCCTGGCCTGCTGGGCAGAAACTCCCTCGTTTCAGCAGGTAGCTGAGCTACGTGCAGCAATGTTCACCCACATTAACAGGCTGGCTGTTCCCAGGAGGGTCTCCCAAGCTGAGTGCCCACTTCTGTGCTGCTCTGAGCCCGTTTTTCACTTTTATAAATAAGAGACTGTCTTTGTGCCCTGTCTTTCTCTGTGACCTAATGATGGAAAATTAATTTTTGTTTGAAAAATTTCTAAATGCGTTCTGATGAGAGAGAAGAGCATCTCTAGGAAATTCAGCGCCTTTCCAGATCATGCCCTATTCAAAAAAAAAAAAATTCACTGAAAGCAGACATCTATGGAGAAAACCTTAGACCAACTCAAAACTTCCTGTCTTTCAACAGCCCCTGCCTCCAACTTTAACAAACATTCCTTTCCTTGGGACACACTTTCTAGCACATCTTTTACAAAGAAGTGTGGCCAAATAACTTACGCTAAGAGAGAACTTGCCTAACATTGCGAATCTTTAGCAACTGTGGGTCCTTTCTAAATGAATATTCCATTAATATTAGCTTTGTGTCTGCATTATGAAAAATGTTAGTTATGCATAAGACGATATTTTCCATAATAATGTCCTTTCCTATTCCTCCTCCATAAAAGTTATTGTAAAACTTTTATGAATAGTAATTTTTTTTTTTTTGCTGTCAATAATGATTGATAGTTGATAGATGATGAATGATTGATGGTTATCACCAGTGACCAGATGCTGGCCTGCTGGCAACCCCCTGTTTGACTATAATAGGAACGAATGTTCAAGAGCAGCTGCATTTCTTAGGCCTAACTTATTCCCAGGCACTTTTTTTAATCATCACTTTGAATTAGAAGGTTTCCCACTGTTAAAAATGCAAATATGCTGTGAATTCCTGCTTAACGGGGAAATGTTGTTTCATATTTCTGCTCTAATTTCAGTGCTCAGAAGCATCGTTGACGTAATATCTGCATGTAACTGAGCTGGCAGAAGGCACTGTTGGTTTACTTTGATTTAGGGGGAGCCAACAATCTGATTCTTGTAACAGCAACTGTTAACATAGAAAAAAGTGAGCTTGACTCTAGATTCCTATCTGATTTTCATAATTGTAAATCAGGATTAACTTCCTAGGGGCTAATGGAACCACTCCAGTGTAAATAAGATTACRAACAGGCCCACTGGGGCTCAGCATTTCTACTGAGTTAGTGAGGTGGGTTTTTATTTGCTTTGAACTCGGAATACTAACAGTGTTTTCTAAAGTATCTGCTAGCAGGATAAATCTCCCTTGGCACAGAGGTGAAAGAAAGAAGAAAACAGGCTCTGGGTTCCCAGACCTCCTGGCTGTGTCTCAGCATGTAGAGCAGAGAACGGTCGTCGCTGCAGTTAGTGACGATTTGGTGCATCAAAAGTGGGAGTGATTTACAGCATACGTGGCCCTGCTCATGTACTGTGGACTTGAGCATCTAGCATTTTGGGAATGGTTATGTTATGTTGTTAAGTGGTGAAAACAGCAGCGTAAAGCAAGAATTGAGGCATTATTTTAGGTGTTCTAGATGTGGTTGGTGTAGGAAGAGGCCTCTGGAGATCGTTTGGTCCAGATCTCTGTGCTGTTTTTGGGGACAGTGTCCAGGTGGACAAGTTCAAGCTGTCCAGTATGCAAGGAAGCTGCTCCACAACCAGCCTGGACAATGAGTTACGGAATCAGATTGCCCTCACTGTGAAAAACTTTCTCATGTTTTAGYGGAATTTCATGTATTTCAGTTTGTTCCCATCACCTCTTGTCCTGTCACCGGATACTACTGAGAAGAATCTGTCTCTTTCATCCATGTTTCCTCGCAGCAGGTATTTATATGCACTGGTAGATCTCCCTGAGCCCTCTCCAGGACAAACACCCCAGCGCTCTCCTCATATGTCACCTGTTCATAGCCCTTCATGAGCTTGGTGGCCTTTTTCTGCACTCAGGCCTGTAGCTCCATGTCTCTTTTCTGGGGAGCTCTGTATGGAGGCAGCATTCCCAGAGGGATCTCAGCAGCATGGAGACGAAGGACCTCCCTCAGCACCACCCTGTGGTGAATGGGTCCCTCCTCAGAGCTTTGTACCACTCTGCTTCCCTTTAGAGCTTGTTCCTTAGATTYCAAAGTAGCCTCTGCCTTTGCTAACTTTTAAGCTAATGCTTAAAACTTTTGAGTAATTCTCAGCCTGGAGGCAGAGTCATCCACGCTGATCTGCATGAGCACAAGTTAGCTGAAGGAAAATCCTCCCTTTTTCATGTAATTCCCAAGATCCAGGATAATTCTCCTGTTTACTTACATAAGAGTCTGAACTGAGTTTTTTGTTTACGTTTCCAGAGTGCAGTAAATCCACAAATTTATAGTGAAGCAAAACAAGCTACTAAATGAGGCTCTTACAAAGATTTTTTAACCTCTGGAAGTCAAATTGTCAAATTCTGCCCAATTATCTCTTAAAGGAGAAAAACTGAAAACAGAATGACCTAATGCTTGAGGTTGCCAGGGACCTTTGGAGATCATCTGGCTGACCATTCAAAAGRTCCATTAGGATAAAGAACTATAACCAATATCTCAGCGTTTTTCAATGCTGACTGCATTTCCCAACTATTTTGGGGGCAGATCTCACAGTAAAACATAAAATTTCTATTTTTACCTTGTTGCAAAGCCCAAAGAAAAAAGTATTTCTCTTATTTTTGCAGTGAAAGTCTTCAGTGACCAGACCCAAGGTCATTGCAGCCAAGTGCAGCTTTTGTTGCAGCCTCAAGGTGTTGAAGGTACAGGTATATTGCAATATTGTAATGCAATCTTTAAGTTCAAGTGCAGGTATCTCCAAGGTGAACGAGGACTGGTGCTTTAGGCTTGATGTTTTGCAGCTCATGGGATTCGTAATGTTTTCTGTGCAATGAGACATCCAGATACAATTTCCTTTCGCCAGTTTTTCAATTTGTACAAAGAAAATATGATTTGGAATAAGTAATAAGCTCTAGATGTAGCAGCCTCCAGGGAGTCTCTTCAGTCAAGTGGGATGGAGGCTGCAGAAGGGGCTCGAGGCAGAAACAGCTCTCATTTCTGTCAATATAAAGCAGGCAGCCCTGGGGAGAAGGGGAGCGCAGCCACGTGATACCAAACGCTTTTGCTCTTTTCCCCCCTTAGCTTCTCTGTGGAAAATGTGTGTTGAGAAAAGAGTAACTGTTGTTGAGGGAAAAACTAGGCTGCAGCCATAGATTAGGAAAAATAACCTTAAAAAATCCTTCACGATGCTAACAATATTTTGGCTAAATGTTTCGCTAAGTGCTTTTTGAGGTCATTTTTGCAGCCCTGAGTTCTGTCAATAACCAAAATTAGGTGTGTTTTTCAAACCTTCCCTCGTGTAAATATATGTGGTTTTAGCCACTGGAAGATCCTTTGCTAATAGGATGGCAGTACAAGTTTTACTATTGATTGGAATATAATGATGCCTCATATTGAATGTTTTATAAAGCACTCTAAAGAGAGAACCCACTCAGAAAACTGTGACTAAGACAACAGTGACAAAACAAACAACAACAAAAAAATATCAACAACAGCAGAAACTGAGCTGAAAGAGTAAATAGGAGTAACTACAGGTAGGTATAGATATATGCATAAAAGTTTGTGTGCACAAGTGTGTACATAGGCTCCTAATTTCCTGTCTCATTTCCTCTGTTGTTGTTAGAACATGGATGAATTTGAAGA